AACAAGGACTATGAAGATAAAATCAAAGAAAACTCAGATGAGTGTGTATATATAAACATGTACATGTATGTGTAGTGTGATTTAAGTGTAAGTAGAAGTAACAAGACGTACCTGAAGTCTTGTATGTTTATGAGACAGAAAAGACAACAGCAATCCTGCCATCATGTAAAACAATTACAAGCATTCGTTTTACACTCACTTGGCAGGACGGTAGTACCTCCCTGGGTGGTTGCTGCCTACCAACCTACTACCATATATATATATATATATTATATATATATATATATAATATATATATATATATATATATATATATATATATATATATATTAATCTATATATATATATATATATATTATATGTATATATATATATATATATATATATATATATATATATATATATATATATATATATATATATATATATATATATATATATATATATATATATATAAGGAATTATATATATTTTTTTTTATTATCACACTGGCCGATTCCCACCAAGGCAGGGTGGCCCGAAAAAGAAAAACTTTCACCATCATTCACTCCATCACTGTCTTGCCAGAAGGGTGCTTTACACTACAGTTTTTAAACTGCAACATTAACACCCCTCCTTCAGAGCGCAGGCACTGTACTTCCCATCTCCAGGACTCAAGTCCGGCCTGCCGGTTTCCCTGAATCCCTTCATAAATGTTACTTTGCTCACACTTCAACAGTACGTCAAATATTAAAAACCATTTGTCTCCATTCACTCCTATCAAACACGCTCACGCATGCCTGCTGGAAGTCCAAGCCCCTCGCACACAAAACCTCCTTTACCCCCTCCCTCCAACCTTTCCTAGGCCGACCCCTACCCCGCCTTCCTTCCACTACAGACTGATACACTCTTGAAGTCATTCTGTTTCACTCCATTCTCTCTACATGTCCGAACCACCTCAACAACCCTTCCTCAGCCCTCTGGACAACAGTTTTGGTAATCCCGCACCTCCTCCTAACTTCCAAACTACGAATTCTCTGCATTATATTCACACCACACATTGCCCTCAGACATGACATCTCCACTGCCTCCAGCCTTCTCCTCGCTGCAACATTCATCACCCACGCTTCACACCCATATAAGAGCGTTGGTAAAACTATACTCTCATACATTCCCCTCTTTGCCTCCAAGGACAAAGTTCTTTGTCTCCACAGACTCCTAAGTGCACCACTCACTCTTTTTCCCTCATCAATTCTATGATTCACCTCATCTTTCATAGACCCATCCGCTGACACGTCCACTCCCAAATATCTGAATACGTTCACCTCCTCCATACTCTCTCCCTCCAATCTGATATCCAATCTTTCAACACCTAATCTTTTTGTTATCCTCATAACCTTACTCTTTCCTGTATTCACCTTTAATTTTCTTCTTTTGCACACCCTACCAAATTCATCCACCAATCTCTGCAACTTCTCTTCAGAATCTCCCAAGAGCACAGTGTCATCAGCAAAGAGCAGCTGTGACAACTCCCACTTTGTGTGTGATTCTTTATCTTTTAACTCCACGCCTCTTGCCAAGACCCTCGCATTTACTTCTCTTACAACCCCATCTATAAATATATTAAACAACCACGGTGACATCACACATCCTTGTCTAAGGCCTACTTTTACTGGGAAAAAATTTCCCTCTTTCCTACATACTCTAACTTGAGCCTCACTATCCTATATATATATATATAATATATATATATATATATATATATATATATATATATATATATATATATATATATGTGTATATTTCGCTTGCACGAGCAAGCGAAATATACACAAACACTGATCTCTGGCCGAAGGAGACTCGAACCTACGAACCTTGGAACAAGGTACGCAGTGCTATACCATTCTCACCACACTGGACAATACCTTGGTGCCTAGCACAATGCTGGACGTTGATCCAAGGCAGCCAGCTTTCAGGGAGAAGGCTTACAGCTTTTCATCTCATCCCCTGCATGCATCAGCCTTACTAGAGATTTTAACAATGCAAGGAATTCGCAAGAGCAGGCGAAATATACACAAACACTGATCTCTGGCCGAAGGAGACTCGAACCTACGAACCGTGGAACAAGGTACGCAGTGCTATACCATTGTTAAAATCTCTAGTAAGGCTGATGCATGCAGGGGATGAGATGAAAAGATGTAAACCTTCTCCCTGAAAGCTGGCTGCCTTGGATCAACGTCTAGCACAATATTGTGCTAGGCGCCAAGGTATTGTAATATCCTAAACAAAAGTAACGCGGCAATAATGAAAAATTCAGTCATACTCTTCTATGTTATCAGTAATTTTACATACATAATTATATTGTCAGTAACATAGAAGTCACTGGCAATTATGGGGCAGTCATCCACGGGTTAACGGGTCCACATATATCGGCAATTATTAATCATGATAAGCATTCATGTTACACTATCAGTAACGAGTTTTTCAAATTAGATGCGTATTTAGTTGAGGCAACAGTACACAGTCTAAAATTGGGCTCTTATACAAATGCATTAGACCGTCTTAAATGTAGTGCCACACCGAGGAATTAGGGCCTATTTTTCCTGCAGTTTCTGTAGGTTGAAGCAGAGTTTGTCTCAGCATTATGTAGGATGAATAACTCTGGCTATCCTCCTTGTAATTACAGATGCCTCCCTCTTTAAATGAGTTCATTTTAATGAGCCCTGTTCCCTTTGTATAACTTTTAGAAGTCTCCCCTTTAATGTTACCGTTATATCGTTCCTTTAAATGGAGCCGCTTTCCCGTGGATGGCTGCCCCATAATTGCCAGTGACTTCTTTATCACTGACAATATAATTATGTATGTAAAATTACTGATAACGTAGCGGAGTATGATTAAATTTTTCATTATTGCCACATTACTTTCGTTTAGGTTATTACAATATCAATACTTGTGGGATTTTACTAATGCTATAACATTCATCCTTCTGGCTATGGGCACTGGTATGCCTAGGGGCACTTCCAGTACCCTTCTCTCTCTCTCTCTCTCTCTCTCTCTCTCTCTCTCTCTCTCTCTCTCTCTCTCTCTCTCTCTCTCTCTCTCTCTCTCTCTCTCTCTCTCTCTTCTCTCTCTCTCTATCTCTCTCTCTCTCCCTCCCTCCCTCCCTCCCTCACTCACTCACTCACTCACTCAAGTGAAGACATCTTTTGGGATCGTACTTGCTTGGACATCCTCCTCTTTTCTCCAATTTTGAAAGCTCCTGATGATGTGTTGACTGCAACACGAAATGGCTAGAGCTATTATTCTACTCCCCCCATGTTTATTTTGCATCCTGTATCACTTGGTTTGCGATATTTGCATAACATATATATATATATATATATATATATATATATATATATATATATATATAATATATATATATATAATATATATAATATATATATATATATATATATATAATATATATATATATATATATATATATATATATATATATATTATATATATATATATATATATATATATATATATATATATATAATATATATATATGGAGGTAAGGAATCACTTTAAAATGCTTGTGAGCCAATATGCAGACAGAGACATACACAGAGACATACACAGAGACATACACAGAGACATACAACAAACATCATACACAGAAAGGTTGTTATGACATGCAAGAACAATATTGCATCATCGAGCAAAAAAGCGACCATGCAACACGTGTATGTTGCATCACGACACGTGTCTTGATGATGTATATGTATTATTACTGGGACAAATGCACATGTACTAGTGTATACACACACCATACAAGAGGTATACTTACACCATACAATAAGTATACATGACCATACAAAAAGTATACATGCACTATGCGAGACGTATACATGTGGGTCATGAAATATACATGTACATCAAAAGGTACACATGTACATCAAAAGGTACACATGTACATCAAGAGGTACATATGTACATCAAGAGGTACACATGTACATCAAAAGTTACACATGTACATCAAGAGATACACATGTACATCAAGAGTTACACTTGTACATCAAGAGGTACACATGTACATCAAAAGTTACACATGTACATCAAGAGATACACATGTACATCAAGAGGTACACTTGTACATCAAGAGGTACACATGTACATCAAGAGTTACACATGTACATCAAGAGTTACACATGTACATCAAGAGTTACACATGTACATCAAGAGGTACACATGTACATCAAGAGTTACACTTGTACATCAAGAGTTACACTTGTACATCAAGAGATACACATGTACATCAAGAGTTACACTTGTACATCAAGAGATACACATGTACATCAAGAGTTACACATGTACATCAAGAGGTACACATGTACATCAAGAGTTACACATGTACATAAAGAGTTACACTTGTACATCAAGAGGTACACATGTACATCAAGAGTTACACTTGTACATCAAGAGTTACACTTGTACATCAAGAGGTACACATGTACATCAAGAGGTACACATGTACATCAAGAGATACACATGTACATCAGGAGGTACACATGTACATCAAGAGGTACACATGTACATCAATAAGCACACATGTACATCAAGAGTTACACTTGTACATCAAGAGGTACACATGTACATCAAGAGGTACACATGTACATCAAGAGATACACATGTACATCAGGAGGTACACATGTACATCAAGAGGTACACATGTACATCAACAAGCACACATGTACATCAAGAGGTACACATGTACATCAAGAGGTACACATGTACATCAAGAGGTACACATGTACATCAAGAGGTACACATGTACATCAAGAGGTACACATGTACATCAACAAGCACACATGTACATCAAGAGGTGCACATGTACATCAAGAGGTATACTGTACATTAATAGGTACACTGTACATCAAGAGGAACACTGCACATTAAGTGGTACACTGCACATCAATAGGTACACATTTAGGTGAAGAGATGTACATTGGGTAGAGATGTGTGAAAGTACTCACTTGTTGTAGAGTACAATATCAGGCCTCCAGATATGATCTGAAGGCACGTGAAGCATCTTCACTCCTCCGTACTCGTCAGGGTCCCAGATGAGCTTGTAGTCGTACCAGTACTGTGGGAGAACCATTCTCAGTATGTGGGAGAGTGAGAGAGAGAGAGAGAGAGAGAGAGAGAGAGAGAGAGAGAGAGAGAGAGAGAGAGAGAGAGAGAGAGAGAGAGAGAGAGAGAGAGAGAGAGAGAGAGAGATTTATCCTGTTCCCTATTTGTATATCTCATAACGATAAAAAGGCTTTCAAATGAGCTGATGAAGGTAACAGTTCTTAGCTTGTAAATATTATTTACGAACCTTAACTTAAGCTTGTAAAACCCAGTGTAAAAAAAGAGAGTAAGAGTGCGTGGGAAAGTACAGAAGAGTGTAAGTGAGTGTAAGAGAGTGTAGGATAGTGTGGGAGAGTGTAGGAGACCACGGGAGAGTGTGGGAGGACTGAATGTGACGAAGGCAGGTGTCAAAGGAGAGGGGAATGGTGAAGATGGGTTGGTGGGTGATGGTAGGTGATGGGGAGAGAGGGTAAAGTGTAGGAGAGCTGTGCGAGGGTGAGAGAATGTGGGGGGATGGGGAGGAATGGTTAGGAAGGTGGGTTGGGGTGTTGGTGGAAGGTTGTGGGGTGATGAGGGCAGTGTGGGGTGTTAATGAGTTTAGGATAATAGAGGTATTAGGAAAGACAATGGTCATTCAGTTTATCTTGAAAAAGTTAAAATCTCTCGTGGGTTCGACTTACTAATGATTTAGAAGACTGGTAATTAACCTAGGGTTAATTATCACCCAAAGAGGCAATAATCCCCCATAAGGGTAATTATCCCCTAGAGAGATACTTATCTCTCAGAGGGGTAATTATTCCCCGGAAAGATAATTATCCCTACAGGGATAATTACCCCTCTGGGGGATGATTATCCCTCTGGGGGATGATTATCCCTCTGGGGGTAATTCAGCTTATATCAATGTGTTCTTTGCAATAACGTCCTTAGTGCAGACAGCATAAAGAACCATTTCAGAGGTATCGGGAAAGGACAACGATTTCTTTGACAGAAGCGGCACTCTCTGACACCTTCCTTTGTGGAGTCAAGTGGTCACTTACTCAGACAAGTGGCATCACACTTGTAGTCTGACATCACACTGCTACTCTTAGTATTGCTGAGTCTAACAAGTACCATACAGTCGGAGAGGATCTCGCCAAGTCAGGTCTAGTAGACACAGTGATAGTATGGTTAGGTAATGTTTATCAGGAAACAGGACAAGTCTTTCCTGACGCGGGTTTTAGTCATATGATGACCCACAGCTGAAGCTTTTGGTCATCTGACAGTAATACTTATCCTCGGGAAGTAATAAGTGAGAGAGATGGATCATATGTTACTTTCACACACTACGGTGAGTACCAGTATCTTTGAGATGAGTGAGGATCTCTTGTATCAAGTGGTCGCGGCGGAAATGAAAGCAAGTCACCACTTCGTCCTTCAGTTGAATGAATCAAGAGATGTTAGTCTCGTGGACACTTTCCTTGTTTATGTTCGGTATCTGTAAGATGACTTTGTGAAAGAGGAAACTCAGTACCCTGAGTCACTGCCCGTCGCTGTCCGCGGGAATGTGCTCACCAAGCTGCAGAATTTTATCGCCTGCAATAAGTTGGAGTGAGCGAAATTAGTTAAGTGCAATGCTGGGGCACCGTTGATGATGGGCGTTCGTTCTGGGGCACCGTTGATGATGGGCGTTCGTTCTGGGGCACCGTTGATGATGGGCGTTCGTTCTGGGGCACCGTTGATGATGGGCGTTCGTTCTGGGGCACCGTTGATGATGGGCGTTCGTTCTGGGGCACCGTTGATGATGGGCGTTCGTTCTGGGGCACCGTTGATGATGGGCGTTCGTTCTGGGGCACCGTTGATGATGGGCGTTCGTTCTGGGGCACCGTTGATGATGGGCGTTCGTTCTGGGGTTCAAGTTTCGTGAAGTGCTTCTCCCACATGCCAGTTACCCACTATATGTTTCAGAGATGTGTTTGTTACACGGAGACGCTGCCCCTCTGATCTCATTAGTGTCTTGTCTGTAGTTGTTAAAACTGTTAATATCCAAGGCAGTACCACACACAGGTAGTGCCACACAGGTAGTGCCATACACAGGCAATATTACACACACACGCACACACACACGCACACACACATGCACACACACACGCACACACACACACACACACACACACACACACACACACACACACACACACACACACACACACACACACACACACACACACACAGTGACGAGGCGGGGCCAGGAGTTGTGACTCGATCCCTGCAACAACACACACACTTCCAAAATTTCAAAGTATTGTGCGAAGAGGCTGAAGCTATGTACCACACACTACTATATCTCACAGAAGTTGGCTGGTTATGACCGGGCAGAAACCTTACACCGGGTGTTGGACCTGTGATAAGAGATTGCCATGTTCCTATAAAGTGGAACAACGACTAAAGAAGAGGACTTTCGTGTGGAAATAATAGTCCGTATATTCATTTTAAAGCTCACTTGTCTCGCAGATTTTTTTTTTTGGCTGAGATAAATCGGCTAAAATTTTCACTACGAGTGTATTTGGTGAATATCCTCACCACTCAGTATTCTTCAATATTCTTCATTATCTCCAACTATACCAATGTGCAGTTAAGACTGATGGTGTATCCAGGTTCTCAGAACCGACAAGGATACTTGATGGCATCATTCGACACTTACTTTTCATTAGAGAGTCGATCAGTGGTCACTGTCCTCACCAACATCTCTGAGAAGTGATTCACCTATTGTGAGACTTTGTTCCTTATTGGAAACAGAGGTCAGCAAACACCAGGACGTCACAGTGAAAGCAGAGTTCCTTGGCCAGCTGGTAGATAGCATACTGAAAGCAGAATTCCTTGGCAAGCTGGTAGATATCACAGTGAAAGTATAATTCCTGGGCCAGCTGGTAGATAGCACACTGAAAGCAGAGTTCCTTGGCCAGCTGGTAGACAGTACGCTGAAAGCAGAATTCTTTGGCCAGCTGGTAGATATCACAGTGAAAGCAGAATTCCTTTGCCAGCTGGTAGACAGCACACTGAAAGGAGAGTTCCTAGGCCACTGATAGATAGCACACTGAAAGCAGAGTCTTGGCATTATTACCTGGAGAATACTCGCTTCCCTTCTCATGTGCCACAAGGCACAACCGTCAGGTTGCCTTCTCTTGAACCTCTGGTTGGCGAAAATTCTCCAGAAAACAGAAACGCAGGTGATGTACAGGTGTTTAATATATCAAGTAGTCGATGTTGTATACCATGAACTTTATGATCCATTAATATCAAGGTAAGAAAAAAAAACGATTCTTATTAATGAACTGTGATGCGTGTTGCTGTGACACAGCCTCACATCTCAAAGACTGACATCTCAAGTCTGACATCTCAAAGACTGACATTTCAAAGACTAACATCTCAAAGATTGACATCTCAAGACTGACATCTCAAAGACTGACATTTCAAAGACTCGCATCTCAAAGATTGACATTTCAAAGACTGACATCTCAAAGACTGACATTTCAAAGAATGACATCTCAAAGACTGACATCTCAAAGACTGACATCTCATGGCCTCAAGGTCTAAATGTAAATGTATCACGTGTCTAAATCTGAATAACTCATATTTGTATGTCTAAATGGATGGCTTTAGACTCAGATGAATTTAGTTATTTAAAAAGGAAGTGGTTAAATAGGACTTTATTGACTACATAAAGTAGTTAATTAGGACTTTATTGACTACATGAAGTGGTTAATTAGGACTTTATTGACTACATGAAGTGGTTAAATAGGACTTTATTGATACATAAAGTAGTTAATTAGACTTTATTGACTACATGAAGTGGTTAATTAGGACTTTATTGACTACATGAAGTGGTTAAATAGGACTTTATTGACTACATGAAGTGGTTAATTAGGACTTTATTGACTACATGAAGTGGTTAATTAGGACTTTATTGACTACATGAAGTGGTTAATTAGGACTTTATTGACTACATGAAGTGGTTAAATAGGACTTTATTGACTACATAAAGTAGTTAATTAGGACTTTATTGACTACATAAAGTAGTTAATTAGGACTTTATTGACTACATGAAGTGGTTAATTAGGACTTTATTGACTACATAAAGTAGTTAATTAGGACTTTATTGACTACATGAAGTAGTTAATTAGGACTTTATTGACTACATGAAGTGGTTAAATAGGACTTTATTGACTACATAAAGTAGTTAATTAGGACTTTATTGACTACATGAAGTGGTTAATTAGGACTTTATTGACTACATGAAGTGGTTAATTAGGACTTTATTGACTACATGAAGTGGTTAAATAGGACTTTATTGACTACATAAAGTAGTTAATTAGGACTTTATTGACTACATGAAGTGGTTAATTAGGACTTTATTGACTACATGAAGTGGTTAATTAGGACTTTATTGACTACATGAAGTGGTTAATTAGGACTTTATTGACTACATGAAGTGGTTAATTAGGACTTTATTGACTACATGAAGTGGTTAATTAGGACTTTATTGACTACATAAAGTAGTTAATTAGGACTTTATTGACTACATGAAGTAGTTAATTAGGACTTTATTGACTACATAAAGTAGTTAATTAGGACTTTATTGACTACATAAAGTAGTTAATTAGGACTTTATTGACTACATGAAGTGGTTAATTAGGACTTTATTGACTACATGAAGTGGTTAATTAGGACTTTATTGACTACATAAAGTAGTTAATTAGGACTTTATTGACTACATAAAGTAGTTAATTAGGACTTATATGACTACATGAAGTGGTTAATTAGGACTTTATTGACTACATGAAGTGGTTAATTAGGACTTTATTGACTACATGAAGTGGTTAATTAGGACTTTATTGACTACATGAAGTGGTTAATTAGGACTTTATTGACTACATGAAGTGGTTAATTGGGACTTTATTGACTACATGAAGTGGTTAATTAGGACTTTATTGACTACATGAAGTGGTTAATTAGGACTTTATTGACTACATGAAGTGGTTAATTAGGATTACATGGAGTACCTGCAGTGGTTAATTAGAACTTTATTGACTACATCAAAGACGGGTATTTTGAACTTTACTGAGCAGCTCAACGGGAGTAATAGAGCAAAATCAACGGCCAAGGGCTACTTGTGGAGAAGAAATATTGATAAGTGTTCTCAGGTGTGTTCTAACTCGAAGAACAACTCACCTGTTCTACCCAGAGGTTCGTTGTCATGATCTGGTTTTTCAGGTTCTGCAAAAAGAGAGAGAACACTGTGGTTAGGTCGAGAACATTGTCTACGTGTCTGAAGAACAAACTGAACATATCCTAGTTAGAAAAAGAACACCGACTTGGTGTCTGAGGAACAAACTGAACACACTTCGTTATCGTTAGATTAGTTACATCAATTAACAAGTAAGAAGTAACCGGAAGTAAAAAAATGAGACGAACACTTTATGAACGCATGATTAACATGCTATAAACACATGATGAACACGCTATGAACACATGATGAACACGTTATGAACACGTCATGAACACGTTATAGACACGTTATAGCATATTATGAACACGTTATGAACACATGAACACGTTATGAACACATGATAAGCACGTTATGAACACATGATGAACACGTTATGAACACGTGATGAACACGTGATGAGCACGCAGTGAACATGTAAAAAGAACAATATGAGGATATTTGATGAGAACAGGAACACAGAAGACAACATGAGGATAATGAGGACAACATGAGAACAGTGTGAAGACAACATGAGGACAGTGTGAAGACAACATGGGGACAGTGTGAAGACAACATGGGGACAGTGTGAAGACAACATGGGGACAGTGTGAACACTCTTGGTAGTGCCATCAAAGGTAGAGTGGTGAGGACGTTCCTTGCGAATTCTCTGTGGACGGTACCAGCGATGCTGTTCATCAAGCAACTCCTCCAGTAGGTTAAGGAGGCCAGGCGAGAGACATACGGCCACTGACTGAGGAAAACATGAGTACTCATGGTAATCCTCCTGTTGTGAATGCTCACAGTTCAGGGAAAGTACCTGGACAGGTTTGGGTAGGAAGGAACGTAGCTAGACAGGGATTAGACAGGAAGAAACGCCGCTGAAGATCAAAAGGAAGGAAGGAAAGTGAGGTAGAAACGAGGAAGATCCAGGAGACTGCTGTGCAAACCTTCAACTCATTCTCCGTGCTGCTGACGAATGTGAGTGGATTACTGGGAATGACACGATGAACTACACCAAGGAAGGTAAGAACATTGTGCTTGTTGGAGACAGTCAGATTAGGTACATGGATAGGCCTTTCTGCTTGGAGGATAGGATCAGGAGACAGAGGGTTTGCTTTCCTGGGGCTGGGATAAAGGATTTTGTTAACCGTCTTAACCGCACTGTGGGTGACAATGGAATTGATCCCATTATAGGCCTCAGTGCTGGACGTAACGATGTAGGCAAGCGTAGAAGTGAGGATTTGGTTAGAAGGTATAGGGCAGCAATAGACATAATTAGGAAGAAGGGAGGGTACCCTGTAATATATGGCATTTTGCTCAAAAAAAAAGGAGTTGGAAGTGAATGGATGTTCAGAGAAATTGGTATCAGTTGTTGGCTGGACAAATATTGTAAAGATATTGCAGTGCCATTCATGGACGACTGGGACCAATTCTATAGCAAAAATGACGTGTATGCTAGGGATGGGGTTCATTTATGTAGGGCTGGGGTGAAGCACTGGCTAGTTCAGTGAAGGGCGCTGTTAGGGCCTGAAACTAGATGTAGTTAGAGATATGGGGTTTTGTGCGAAACGAATGAAATATGGTAAAATAAAATTAAACAACGAGAACTATTTGATTTGCGGTGGGGATACCAGTTATAGGCAGAATGAGGTAGGATTACTGGGTAATAATAGAAATTCTGTGAGATTATGTGATAAGGGAAGCAGCAGAGATAGTAGAGGAGCAGGGATGAAGAGGGAGAGGAAACTTAAGAGAATCTCTCACTGCCTCGTATCTCAGTGTTTACAAGGATGGTGATGCCAGCACTCTTGACATTGCCAGCACTGTTAGCAGAGTCATCACTGGTGGCACACCTCTACCTTCCCTGCCCTCAGAAGCCATTTAAACCAGCTCCCTTGCATAACCTGATTAATGAACAAAAATCTTGGGTCACCTGAGTGATGTGGCCTCTCTCTCTCTCTCTCTCTCTCTCTCTCTCTCTCTCTCTCTCTCTCTCTCTCTCTCTCTCTCTCTCTCTATTTATATAGTTGTATCCTTCCCTGTTTACAAATGCAGCAAAAAAATTTGTATTTACATGTTGTTTCGCTCATAAAGTGCCATTAGCGCAAAAATCAGGTTCAGGTGACCCTGGGTAAGGTCTGGACCTGGGGGTCAGATAACCCTGGGTAAGGTCTGGACCTGGGGGTCAGATAACCCTGGGTAAGGTCTGGACCTGGGGGTCAGATAACCCTGGGTAAGGTCTGGACCTGGGGGTCAGATAACCCTGAGTAAGGTATAGACCTGGGGAGAGTCAGGTAACGCTGAAAGGTACCCGAAAAATGCTTCATGGGGGTCAACGCCCCCGCGGCCCGGGCCCAGACCAGGCCTCCTTGTGGATCAAGGCCAGATCAAGCAAGAGGCCGGTGCCGGGCTGGTCAGTTCCTGGCACTGGAATCTGTCCAGTTTACTCTTGAAGACAGCCAGAGATTTTGGTGGTAATTCCCCTCATGTACGAAGAGAGGGCGTTGAAGAGTCGGGAACCTCTGACATTCAGCAACCCTCCTCTCAGTGTAATCGTTGCACCCCTTGTTATTCACTGGTGATACCTTCCTACGTCTGCTATATCTCTTTCTTTCACACGGAGTGATTTCGGTGTGCAGATTTGGGACCAGTCTCTCAAGGATTTTCTGGGTGTAAATTATAATGTACCTTTCTTGCCTACGTTCCAAGGAATACAGGTGAAGAGACTTCAAGCCTCCCCAGTCGTTCAGTTGCTTGATCGGGTGTATGCGAGCAGTGAAAGTTCTCCGTACCTTTTCCAGCTCAGTAATCTCTCTTGCCTTGAATGAGGCAGCTAGTGTACACCCCATTACAATAACGATCATTCCTTCAGCTATAATGATCACTTCTACAGCCATAACCCTCACACATCTGCGGGCATAACGTTCACACACCTTTAGCCATAACATTCACATATCTGCAGGCATAACGTTAACAAACCTACAGCCATAACATTCACACATATGCAGGCGAAACATTCACACACCTGCAGGCATAACGTTCACACACCTTCGGCTTTAACGTTCACACACCTACATTTTTAACCTTCACACGCACTCTTCCCCAACATTAATGTGTTTCACTGGAGTGAGTGTGGGGATCCCGCAGATCGTGGGGGGATTTTTAGCTATCTCCAACGATGGCGCCGGAGATGATGGTATTTTCTTGGATGTTTTTGGCGCTCTGGCAGCCATTCTGGCAGTAATGGGGCATTTGAAGTGCTCTCAGTGGATTTAGAGTGCTGTGAGTGGTATTTGGAGTGCTCTGAGTAGTATTTGGAGTGCTGTGAGTAGTATTTGAGTTCTCTCACTGATTTTGGAGTGCTGTGAGTGGTATTTGGAGAGCTGTGAGTGGTATTTGGAGAGCTGTGAGTGGTTAGCTAGGGTTCTTTGATTGACATTTGGAGTGCTCTGCGTGACATCTGGAGTTTTCTGAGTGACATGCTATCTTCCGAGTATTCTTTGGAGGTGATAAAGACTGTTCACAGAGATAATGGGAGGGATTTCCGGTGGTTAATAGACATTATTATTATTATTATTATTATTATTATTATTATTATTATTATTATTATTATTATTATTATTATTATTATTATTTGTATCTTTCTCATGAGAGTGCCCACCACCATTAGAAATCTGAAGTCGAGTGGAAGAGTCATCATCCAGGTACAGGTCAGATTCCAGAGAGTTTAGTTACATCAGTCACGGTAGTATGTACAACCGAGTCAAGTCCTGGTGAAGCCTCTCGGTGAAATCAACAGAACTACGGCCGGGGACTTGAGCCTTCACCTGTTCGTGTGTCAAGATCGTCCTAGCGAGCAGCAAGCACCTGCTGATACTGTTGAATTAGACACATGTGCAACTCTTGGGTATCTTTATTGAGGAAACGTTTCGCCACACAGTGGCTTCATCAGTCCATACAAAGGAGAAACTTGAAGAACAGGAGGAGAATGAGGTAATCAGTCCTTCAGCCTTGAGTCGATGTGGTCAGTCCATCAATCTTGAATAGAATACAGCATATGAGCGGAGAAGCAGCTTATAAACCGTAGACAGGAGAGGTGTAGCAGTCGTAGGTGGTGTCACATTTGTCCAATGTGGAAGTAGGTCGTGCCCAAGGGTTAGGCAAGTGAAGAATTTCCAAGTATTAAGATCCCAAGAAGTTGCAGTGTGTGACAGGATTGTAGATGAATGGTTCAGAGAGCCGACATGTTGTTGAATTAGACACATGTGCAACTGTTGGGTATCTTTATTGAGGAAACGTTTCGCCACACAGTGGCTTCATCAGTCCATACAAAGGAGAAACTTGAAGAACAGGAGGAGAATGAGGTAATCAGTCCCTCAACCTTGAGTCGACGTGGTCAGTCCATCAATCTTGAATAGAATACCCAAGAGTTGCACATGTGTCTAATTCAACAACATGTCGGTTCTCTGAACCATTCATCTACAAACCTGCTGACACTACCCAAAGTATAGCCTGATTATCCTTTGCTATCCTGCAAGACCTCCTTTAGGATTTTGTCTTGTCCTCCAGAGGTGGCGGGGTTTGTGTTGCGCCCTGTCAATCTCTCCAGCCTTTCTGGCCCTTTCCGTTACTGCGTTCTTTAAATGACCGGCCATAGGTAATTATTTTACATCACGCTTTGTTCTATGATATGGTCCTTCTGGGGTTTGTATCCAGCCTCCCTTTTAAGTTCTTCAGTCTTTCCGTAGCTGTGTGGTTGAAATCTGTCACCACTGAAAATCATGTTATTTCTCACGAAATCGTAATGACACGATTGCAGTGGCTAACGCGACGGTCTGGGGTTTTGAGACTCGCTGATCGCGGGTTCTATCCCCACCCGTGGTATGGTTTATGTTATTTTTCATTGCCCACCATAAGAGTCTTCATTCATGCTTGCCAGTCTTCCGCGTTGTCTTCTATCCAGGAGAGTTCCTTGTATATTGTGGGGTCGTCGACAAAGACTG